GTTTGAAGACCTTGATCATTCTTAATTTGTTTGAAGTGTGGGTGCTCACCAATTGTTGAGAAATTATTGAGGAACTTGAGCATAGGTAACTGGTTTTTAAAATAGATTATAGAATTCACTAATCTCAAGTCCAAAGGAAGAGAGTTACAGAGTCTGGGGGACATTGTTTCTGCTAAAATGTTTCAACCCTTCCCGAACGCTTCTTTCATTGCACATGAAAATGGTTCTCGCTAGAGGTGGAAACAGAAAATGTGGTTCACAAAAGGTACAAATATACTATTAAGTATAACCAAGCTGTGTAGACATAAGAGAAGATACTATCAGCTGGTGATGTGCAAACCAAAAGTGAGCAAATGACTCAACTGAGCACCGCTCGCTACACTCATAAGTTGTACTCAATAACACAGGAAGAGCAAACGATGAATGGAAATTTCTGACATGTTTACATGGGTCGGAAAGAAGAGCAACCCAAGATACAACATCGCAGATAGAAAAGATTTCTCAGTTTCAGTTCCTGGAGAGTTACAAGGCTTGATTATGTTTGTTAAATTAAATTGTTCAGCAGTTATTTCACTTTTACTTAAACTGGATATGAAACTCTACATGTATTAAGGTAATTTCCACCATAGAGCCCTGCTCTAATTGACTGTCACAAATCTAACTGGAATTACAAAAAATAAGTGTTTTAAGTTAAAAGTGACTGTTTTTAGAGCATGTCTAACACCATCTCGTCCAGTACAGACTGTGACTTCACTAGGTTGATTGCTGCTAAGAGACTAAAATTAGTTCATATTAGCTAAATAGTGACAGAAAGAATATCACAGTGGAAAAAAAGAAAGTTAAAACTCTCAGGGGTTCATTTTTATATGGCCCCTGGCTGAAACAATTAGTTTCATGTTAAAAAATCAAAGCTATTCTGCCTACTGTCACTCTGTGTCTCTTAAGCATCAAAAGGTTTCTCGTTGTTGGCTAGTTGTTAAATACTTTTGTAAATGATGTCTGTGCGAAGGAGACCGTGCTTGAGTCAGGTGCTCCAGCAGTTTAACAAACTGACAAGCTGAGCTGAAGTTGACGCCGTCTCCTCTGCATTTGATTTTCCCTCGTGAGGTCATGTGAAAAGACCACGCCAGCTGGCAGAGCATGTCCACAGGATGCAATCAGCACTATTTTATACAATAAACTAACACTCAGTTATCTCAACGTTAAGTGTCTTTTTCTAAGCATACCCAAACAGCTTACAATATAACTGGTTACTACATGTGATCAGGGCACAAACATAACACTAAGTCAGTATTGTCGAATATTGTCCGCAGCTAAAAAGTAAGGGGCTTTACGAAAATTCCTAAAGTCCTCAACAAGATCAACTATCTTCTTACTGTTATGTATGTTTGCATGCACCTCCATCTTCTCCCTAACAGGTGGGCCAATCTGAATGAAAGTTTGCAAGAACATCGTCACACATACAGCAATTAACTACACTAAGCAGTGCAAGACCAAAGCCAAGAAGATTATGAGGGATCTCTCCCATCCCAACAATGGACTCTTCTCACTGTTGAGGTCTGGGAAGCGCTTCCACTCCCTTAAGGCCAAAACAGAGAGAATGATGAGGAGCTTCTTCCTCTTACTCTCTGTCATTACTACACATCAGTAACTGTTTATTCCACTGTATACTAGTGGTGCAACGGATCAAAAGTCTCACGGTTTGGATCGGATCACGTTTTTTTCGCCACGGATCGGATCAATTTTCAGATCAGCAGAAAAAAAAAAGAAGAAAAAAATTTAACTTGCCATTTACTTATTTAAGTATTTTTTGCCTATTAAAAAACATTCAACTAAAGACTAATTCCACACAATTATATAAAAACTAATTAAGGTGCAATATAGGGCAGTGCAGGGCTTTCTATCTACAACTCCGCTGTGATATAATGAGCGGTCAGATCATTTAAAAATATAACTCATTAAACATAAACACCACATGGCAACCCAGACTTACAGAAGCAGGGGACATGTCCCAATCCTTGGTTGATTCTGATGTCTCATTGTCTTCCTTTCCACTCCTGTCCAAAAGCTTTTTGCTTGCTGGCTCTTCTGCATCTAAGATATCCAAGGCCTGCTGGAACTCTTTGGCAGCATACTAGAAAAAGCAGAAACAAATAAGAAGCATTAAAAATGACAGATCTAATCAATTATCTGCAATTTAGAAGATTGCAGAAAAGGCTCTAACAACTGGCATGTTGTGCATTTTCCATTTACTTACATGACACCTTGCAGCAAGATACTGACAAGCTCCGTACAGCTGTTAAAGAGAAGACAAGAGATGTTTAAAACTTTGGTCTGACATTATGCTGCTGACTTTTTTTTTATGGCAAACAGTTTAACTCTAACACACACCACTCCCGTACTAAACACGGTTATAAAGGCAATCACCCACTTTTCAACACTCACGCAACGCACCTTGTCAAGTTTACGTGAACGGAGGGCATGGGAGGCTCTGTGGTACTGTGAGGTCAGATAAAGGCACTGAGCAAGCCAGTAAATATCCTGGGGATCTTCTGTATGTAAACAAAGTCGATAGGGTTATCAGTTTTAGAGGTTAGGAAGTTATCGCTGGCAGGTTTCACACCAATGAAGATGTACTAGGATGCTAATCTGTTATCCGCCCAGACCGCTAGTAAAACTTTCTTTCAGCTGTAACGTAACAGGAAAGCGTAACCATTTCCCATGAAGCACCACACACACACACCATCATTAGTTTTGCTGATGAAGACGACAGACTGACAGGTTAAGTAATGCTACTCCAACAGACAGATTAGAACTACCGTAATTTGCTCACCGTGAGAGAGAGATGCTATCTTGTCGGCCCAAAACAGAGCACTCTGGTACTGTTGCTGTAAACAAACACATAAAGGCACCGCATCAGTCTCCAAAATATATGTCAAGCTACTCACTGGCTGTTATTTGGTAAAGAGGAAAACAGCAAGAGTTCGTTACCACTGACACCAAACGTGCTAAAAAAAAAAAGCTAGCGTGAGCTAGCAACACAGAAACTAATATTTTTCCTACCTGATCGATGTATTGCCGCACTCGCTTTCTGAGTCTGTCGAGGTTCATTTTGACTTTTTAAAAGTAGACTGCCAAAAGTTCTGACTATCAAAAGTGTGTCATTCTAAGAAACAGAGGAAGCTATGCACTAAAACAATACGTGAGATCTCGCTAGCTGCGTAAAATCAAACCCGCGGCTTCTTTCTGCAATGAGTGCTCTGCTAAACCGTTCCGTAAGGAAACTACGTTGTGATAGAAAGTTCCACATTGACGCTCCTGGCCCCCGGGCCACCTAACGATAACAATTTAAACAACAACAACAACATATATGTTATTTCAGTGTATTTCCCCTGTTTTTATTTGTCATCATATTAACAACAGTGAAGACAGATACAACAGGAACACCTTTTATCTTACAGCAGTTAAATAAACACAATACATGCATAACAAATAGAATAAATCGGCAGAATGGTATACGGATAAAAGAGAAATACATTTTAAACACTAATGACTAAACAAATATCTTAATAATGTAAGAAGTATTCTGAAAGTAAAAATATAATAGAATAAAGTCAGGATAAAATGAAATACAAATAAAGTAACAATATGAAAAAAGGAAAAAGAAAACTGCATTTAAAATTACTTACCTAATCACAGAATAACAAATACTGCACGGCATTAACATTTTTCTTGTTTTTATTTTTAGGTTTATTAGGAGTCCTTGGCATTTTTAAATACATCAAAAACATATGACTTTTCAATGGAATGACTGCTTTAATTTATTTATTTTGGATTTTAGGGTGTATCTTGTGATTTCTTTCTTTCATTCCTTTTCTCATTTGGTAGTGCATTTGGTTTAAAGGTATCGGTATTCCTGTATCCTCTTCCTTGTTGCTCGTTTTCCTTCTTTTGTTTTGCACCACATTTCCTGCTTACCTTGCTGCTTTTTTCTTGTCCCCAGCAGTGACACATGAGATCAGGTGTTCACATTTTTATCTGATTTGTACATATAGTGTGAAACAAAAGCATATAGAGCATAGAAGTTAAGGAATGCAATGCAGCTTTAATACACACAAGGAAGAAAGAAAAGGACACCTTTTGCTGATTTTCTCTGTCATGAGGATAGTGACTAATTCTTTCCATCACTTCGGTAGTTTTGAGCCAATCCTCGTGCCAAGCCCACACACTATAGAAAGGTTTACACTGGCTCAGTTTAAGCTGGATCCTTTGATTCTCTTGGGCAATTCTGAGCATTTCCAGCTGCTGATTTTTGTTCCCAAGGCTATATAGAAGAGAAAGAAAGCACAATTAAGCCGCCTTATTTCTTTGAAAACCCCATTGTTCTGACACAGTTATTACAAAACTTAACTGACCTTTTCTTTTCATAGAAATTCCAGTTGTCAACTCTTCCAGGTGTGCTCATAATATGTGATATACTCTCTCTAAGCCTATTGTTTTCTCTCTGAATCTCCAGCATCCTCAGCGATTCAGTCTTAATTCAACAAAAAGTGATTAGAAACAGTCACATATATAGGAGGTTATTCTAACTACATGTATGTAAAAACAGTGTTTTAGTCACATTGCTATTACATTGGATCACTTCAGGCTTCACAATACTTTATTCTACACTGACTGGAGGTAAAAATAATTTTGTGATTCTAATTATTCATTTAAATTTCTTATGTTTTCTCACTCAAAGGACAACCTTGTGATTCTTCTGCTTGGGAGTGAGGTGACTATATGTCTTTGGTGGACCCGTGTTTACCACTGGTTTTGCTGTCATCACCTTGGGGGAAAAAAAACACATTCATGTCTGTCTGAGGCAGTAAACCGTGAATGTCCTTACTTTAAAACAACTGTATAAAACAAAAAGGTAGATTAGTTTGTGATAGAACCCCCCGAAACAACCTAAGGTCAAGACATTTAGAATATGGGCAAACAGGGAAAACGATGACAAATGTTTTTTAAAAAATTGTAAAAATCAAAGACTTTTCTCTTAACTCTTTTTCTGTGCCATGTCGTGCGCAGCCTTGTCCCATTTCTCCTGCAGGTATTTGCTTGCAGTGGGAAACAGGGGTACTGCTAAGGGATGCAGCGACGGCTCCCTGTAAAGAGAAAAGAGGGGAAAAAAGCTGCAAAAAACCAAGCCCTTTACACTCAGCAGAAAACAAACAGGTTCACACATTTTAATGATACATTTTGAAAATAAAGAAAACTATAACAAAAAAAAAAATCCACATGGGGATTGTTTTAAAATTGCTCAAGATTATTTAAAATAGAGTATCAGAATCAGAATACTTTATTAATCCCTGGGGAAATTATGTGGGTTATGGTTGCTCCAGTCCAGTAACATTAAGAAAAACAAAAGCAAAAACAAAAACAGACTAAACTATTAGCAATACAATATATTAAGATACAATGAATAGCACTATATAAGGAATAGCACAATAAAAGTATGGGCAAATTATGCAAGAATAACAAGCTCTGAGATGCCCTGTCCAGATCAGGGGTGCTTCTTTTTTCTAGTACCTATAACTTGGCCATCTCCGTGTCTCTTATACACCTGCTCTATGTGGCAGGTATGTGTTTCTGTTTCATGGACTGTATGTTTATTGATGAGTGCTTTAGATTAACTTATTTGTATCCAGTTCCAGCCATGTAAACGAAGTGAATCCCCCCAAAGGTTCATGGTCCCTGGAAAGTTTCTGCAGTGGAAAATAGGCTCATGCAAAGAGGACAGCTTTGCTGAATAAATAAAGCAGTAGGGCCTATGTATAGAGATGGGACTTTTTTTTCCTAAATTGTCCAGCATCTCTTAATCCAAATAAACGACGGACAGTTTGTTAACAGGGTGCATCAACAGTTGGCGCGTACGCCAATAAATCAATTAGCGTAAATACCCTGCGGGCTCCCTGCCTCACCTTGCAGTCTGTGGTTGCCCTGCTCTCTTAATTTCTTTACTCATGTTTCCGAGAGTACGCTGAACCGTCCGCGCGGACTAAAGCTCAGAAAACTGCAGTGTGTTTTGTGCCAGTCATACACGGTTGCCATGACAGCAGAGCGAGAGAGCGGAGATGAATGGTTTCAAACGATGCGCCTGTTTGGTTTGTTCCACACAGAGAAACACATACAGCCACAGAGATAGGCTAATTAGCGAGCAGACTGTGGAGCGAGTGGCTGTAAAATGAGCCTCTGTGTAAAGACGCATTTACACATAGTTCAAAGCTGAAAACGAGGAAAATGAGCTAGAACATAAACTGCTTTTATTTTATTTATTTATTTATTTTTAGTTTAGTTTACTTTTACAAAGTAAAACAAATAAATAAATAAAGTCTGACACTTACTGTGTCTGGCTAGACATTATATCCACTAATCACTTTGATCTCTTCATCTTTTAGAGCATCAGTGGAATTAATTTAACCAAATTTATAAAGTATTATGTATGTCATCCGGGAAGTAAAAAAACAGAAAGAGGAAATCAGAGTTGTTGAATGAAACCTATTCTAGTGCTTTGACTCTATGAATGAATATACATGTAACACTACCCCCTACTGACAGGAACTGGCTACGACGACTTTTGACACACATGGCATTTTTACTTTTAAGCATTCAAATTTCACGCTAGAAGGAACAACAACAACAACAAAAAAGCAGTGATGAAAAAAATGGTCACGTCACCGTTTTTTCACACCCTTATAAGCTGTTATAAATTTTGTCATTAAGATAACAATTAGCCTGAAAAATAATCTCTAACCTTCACTTCACATATCTCAAACCTGTAAATACTCATAAGCAAACTGTTCTTCACGTACAAGTTTAATGAGAATATTGCACAATCACAAAGCTGTCGGAGACGTTAGCAGCTGATGTCGATCTGTCATGGCTACAGGCCTCATGTCTGGCATTTCCCCACAGATGCCGTCAGAGGTGAATTAATTGGCCCCCCTTCCATCTCCCAGCGTAGTCTTGTCTCCGTGCGTGGGAAGCACTCTCATGAATGAATTATATGCAATAAAACATTTCCAGTCCACTTTGTTATTTTGTTGTATAAGAGGAGACGTGTTGATGGGACAGACGGAGAATACCAAGATGGAAAAAAATCATGTTACATGCCTCTAGATCTCTTCCATCCTTTTTTTGTTTTGTTTTTACACTTTTGTGTTTTTTGTTGAACAGTTAAACTGAGATATTTGTAAAATGTTTCTAGGTCTTTGAATATGTGCGATTATAGTATGGGCAAATGTCTGTGACCAATTTTGAATTGATTTGAATACTAAGCCCTTCAGTACTGATGACGTTTTGAAGGCATTCTTGTGCAGTTTATTTATGAATTTATTGAAATGTTCTGACTAAAACCCAAATTACATTTCTCATGCAGACTGCAGGCGACATTTGGACATAAAACTCAGACCTTTCCAGGGACTGTTGCAGAAAAGCAACTTTACTAATAGAGTTTCTGCTGTTTCTGCTGCACAGTGTTTAACTTTGTCCAAATAAAAATTTGACATGTTATCAAAATGCTTAAACTTTGGTCTTATAAGAACATAGAGCCTTCTACTTTCAGACTGTTGTGTACACTTTCTGCCAAAGACTTTCCCAGATTTTAATACTCTGTTTACATTCACTGGCTTGGTATGCTTATATTAGCATACTAATATACTATATTAAACTATAGGATTCATCAATTTGAAGAAAGCCCTCAAGTCCTAATAGGACATGGAGAAAAGGACAATGTTGTTGAGCTTTTGGTAGCTTAAACAGTGGCTTTTATGTGTAAACAGTTTTAGAAGATATGATTTTTAGGCTGCAGTTGTCAGATTTAAGGTTGGACTTTTGGATTTGACTGGAATATTCATTTGTATTTAATGAGTTGGGTTTTTTTTGCCAGAATTTTAAGTAGGTGGATCAATACGGAGCCCCGCAGTGGACATGGGAGAAAAAAAAATTAAGACGGACTTTTGCGAGATCTCACAAAAGTCCGTCTTAATTTTTTTTTCTCCCATGTCCCCTGCGGGGCTCCGTAGATCGAAAATGACTTTGATTAATTGCATTATTTCATTTGATTAATCATTTATTAAAAAACAACCACAAAAGAACCCCAACAAAACAAAAGCAAGAGCCACTTTGAGAACATAAACTGCTGCCAAGGCAGCTCACCATGCATCCATGCATCCATGCATCCATGCATCCATCCATCCATCCTCTTCTGTTGGTGGAATAATATTTTGTTTTTGTATATGCTCTTCATCTTTGTTAGTTTTTTAACAAGTTTGCATTTGTTTTTATTGCACTACAAAGTGCAGGATTTTGTTTTCCCTGTTGAAATGCATTTTGAAATACTTGACATAATTTTGAATATAATTATTTTGTATTATTTTTCATTTATACAGTTTGTCTTACTCTTGACAATACTTTCTTTATAGATGTATATTGCATCTTAAGGTCACCGCATGGTTCAAAAGATAGAAGACATTTTAAAGTTTGGAAGTTTGACCTTTTTTGACCTCGAAAAAGACAACAGAGGCCCAAACTAAATTTAGAATTCCCCCTTTTTCCTTCCCTGTATGCTGAAAACATTATCAGCACAAACAACTGCAGTTTGAATATATAGCTCTATATAGCCTTATTATCCCTTTGACCTTCAGAATAATCTACTGACCTTGAGAGAGAGGTCAGAGGTCAAACATGACATAATATTTTAATCTCTATGCAAAGCCTTCTACATGTTGCCAAGACATGCAACACACAAACACTACTAAAAATATAACCTCCTTCACAGAGTTAACAAAACAAAAAGTTTATAATAATCTTAGATCTAGAACAATGAAAATAAATAGTTACACCTAAGTCATCTAGTTATTACATCAAAATTGTGAAAAAAAGGAAACAAGATAAGGCACACAGTGCTTCTCATAGGCTTTGTTAGTACCTCAAGTGATTCAGAAAAGCGATAATGATGCGGTGAAGCTTGTTTTCAGGTCTTGATCAGAACGGCAGGGGATGCTAACAGTTCCAGGAACTCCCAGAGGTGGCTCTTCCATTGCACTGTTGTGGGAATATGTGTGGAGAGAAACTGCCTCTTTGGGACTGGGGACGCACAGTAATAGCAAAAAATCATGCAGACATAACTGGTGTTTTGTTTGCATGCACCTCAACATTATTATATGGTTTTAGAGTTGTAACGATCTATAATCTACTGAGACAAATGCAAAAATCTCAGAGAAAGAAAGAGAAACAATCACTTTCAGTTCCAGAGGTGAAAACACACGAAATGTGCTCAAATATGGCTCAGAAATAATTTTGTCATCATTAAAGCTCAACATCTGCGAGAACTCAGATTATCCAGTGCCATCAGATTATCCAATTCCATCACCATCCCTATTTCATTATGTTCTGAGGGCAGCAGAGGAAAAACAGAAACACAGTCTCCCCTGTTAGCCACCTTGTTTCTGCTGACTGAGACAAATATTAGAAGTCAGCTCAAATCTCACACAATTGCCTTATTTTCTCATCTATCCATGCGACCAGTACCACTGTAAGATCAACAGGAGTGCATTGCCCCGGGGTCAGGATTGAGTTTTTTTTAAATCTGTGTGATGGAAGTGACTATGGTAACAGGTCCCTTGAGAAGATCCTGTTGAGAGATGGCTGCATCACGCTGGCTCCCAGCCTGCTTGTTAGAACTGCCAAAGAGACACCTGCAAGCAAAGAGTTGTGTTATTAAAATGAACAGTTGACAGATTTAATCAATTTCTCTCATCAAAATCATCCTGACATCCAATTTTCTAGTTAGCAGTCGGTTTACTTTACATTGCCCATACCTTTTAAATCAACAGGCTTCCAAGGCGAACTGACCAGGATGCAAAATGCTTCCTCTGCCTTTAAGAGCTCTTGTCTCCACACCCAGTGATCATCTATCAGACTGGTGTTAAAGAGCCATTACAAACACTGTCTTGACCTTTTTAAAAATAGAAACAGACATTAGAGACACTACTATTTTTTTTCAGAGTAGATTCTGTTCTGCCACTTTGTAGTGTTACAGAATAATGGCACAAAATAAACAATACGGCCGTAAAATATAAAAACACACATTGTCAACAATAAATGCTTGAGCTTGTGCAGTAAGCTGCTTTACCTTGACTTCTGCTTTGTTTAAAATGGTTACAGTTCCCAGTGGTTAAAATTAAACTCTAACAACATGTGAAAACCTCCGTCAGTCGATATGTAGAAAGTTATTTTAAATTCAACGCAATTTTCAGCTAATGGATGGTAGAATAGGTAACAACTCTAAGGCACCGCTCTCAGTCCTGCTGCTCCATTAATGCCGCCGAGCTATGGAGGAATGGATGCTTTGACTGGGAAATAAGGTTTATCTTTCTAAAAGGGGCTCTTTTGATGACAGCTTGGTGCATACATGCTGCACTTCCTTCTCAATGTAGGAAGTTTGCTCCATTTTAATATACAAACCCATTCAGGCCTAAATCCCAGATAGATCTGTGCTATGAAAGAGTATAAATAATGAAGACTGCCGTCTTTACAAGTTAAAAAAGACCCACAGCGCTATTACATAACAGTGGAATGAGTTATGAGGATAACAAATTAGCCAGAGTAGGCTTGAGTACAGTAACATCCTGGAATAATCAGCTGAGGTACCCTAGCACAAAATCAGATTTACGCTCATATTTGTCCTCTAAATGTAACCTCAGCTTTTTTGCATCTATAAATGTCCTCTTGTTTCCCTTGGCAACTTCACCTCATCTGAACATCGCAGCTTCTAGGTTACTGGCAAGGTCCCCCTTTTGCTTGTATCTTGGTTTAAGACTTGCAAAAATACCTCATGTATCTTACAGGACAATCCTTCCCCTTTTAACACGAATTGCTCTCTCTTCTGCACCTCATCGAGTGTTTCTAATACACAAACTTTTAAAATTGTATTTAGTGTGATGGTTGTTTCTAAACTCTTGTGATGTCTGCCATCCGCACTGTTTAAATA